AATAGATAGAAAGTCAAGCAAACATGTTTATAGTACAAACTATTGTATTCAACTATTGTTTTCTCAGTCCTAGACCAGTTTGTGTCCCCTAGGAATTTGCCAAATGTCCCCTCTCGGGGACATGTCCCCCAAGTTGAAAACCGTTGCTATAGTGGAAGCAACGCGGCCAACAACATTCCAGTCGTCCTGGACGAAAGCGAAATGCGCCTGGTAAACGAAGGAAATATTCCCACACTAACTGAAAATCAGTCGAACAACGCAGCACAGCGAATCCCATACGGTAACGACTTCCACGAGGTCCCAGCGGCAAACGTCAACCAAATCCAGGCGGATGAGTTTTTCGATTTAGCTAAACTTCTGCCTAAAAACATTTCGACAGCTAACCAATCCCATAAGCCGATTATCTTAACCCTTGAGAACTCTGTGATTAATAAGGCCAAAAAGGCATCTCCGCCAACCGCAAGAATCACTGATATTGAACAGTGGACAACCGCGTATACCTTGTACATGGGCGATATGACCCATAAGTTTCCCGCTCGGGTCCAAGAACTTCTCCAATATATGCAGGGCCGTAGCGAGGGGGATATTGGGAGGTGCGGGGTGGTTAACCCCAATTTTTTTTAGAATTAACATATTTCGGGAAAATCAGGTTGGCTATTCGAAAAATTCCGGCAATAACAGTATAACAAAATTTTAGTTGTTAAACAGAGAAAATATGATATACTTGTATTGTCACTATAAACTGATTTACGAAATCATGGCATTTACATGGATAAACATTTAACCAATCGTAAATCGGTCAATGTTTTTCGGTGTATTACTTCTCAGGGCCGTAGCATCCGGGGGGGGGGAGGGCTGGGGGGCTGCAGCCCTCCCAATAAGTTGCTAATAATCATTCTTTTTTAAAAATCATGCAGACCATTATCATTTAACCTTAAAAATACTGACAATTGAATAATTTGAAGCGGCTACTTTTATCCATGACATAATATTTTCAAAATGCATTTATAAAATATTTAACAATTATTTGCCGAAGGCGAGGTGATTATCGGGGAATATTTGCCGAGACAAAGACGATCGAGGTGAATATTCTTCGATAATCACCGAGCCTCAGGCGAATAATTGTTTTCGTATTTTTACACAAGTCTTTTGTGTTGTTGGGACTGAAGTTATTTTAATTTCGCTTATTTCTTTATCAGTAACTTCTACAAAACGGCTAGCCGCCATTTTGAAAATTTCGGTTTTGTTATATTCACCTACAGGTGAAATTTGACCAATCAACTTGTAGGATTTGTTATGTTCACTTGTGCAAAAATACTAAAAAAGATTATTAAAGTATTGTTATAATTGTTTAGCATGCACGTTTTGTCGTTCATATATCGGAAAATGTATGGCTTATAAGTTGTCATTACTCATTAGTGAATGCGCGTACTGTATGAATGAAATAAACTGTTTTTTACTTGCATTATTTCATTATTAGTTTGTAAATCTCTGAACGGTAAAACTTGCCAATACTCCAATAATACGTTTCAAAAAAGACAAAAAAAGCTTTTAGTTTTGCGGAGTTACATTCTCAAACGTGTAAAACACTAATAAGATCAAAGTATCACGAAATTATTTGAATAAACCACATTGCACATAACTGGGGGAGGCGAATTTCCTAAAGGGGGCGATATTCCTAGGGTATACGCTCCCTGGGGGGCGATATTCCTAGAATATTCGACCTCGGGGCCTAGGAATATCGCCCCCCTTTTGAGCGGAATATTGAGGGGGCTAGGAATATATTTGAGGGGAAATATACTTGAGGGGGTTGGGAATATATTGGGGGGGGGGGGGGGG